AACCTCTTGGTCGCCACGTACGCCGATGATACTGCTTTTCTATCAACGGCCAACACACCGCAGTACGCATCCTTAATCATGCAACGTCAATTGGACACCCTGGACAGCTGGCTGAAAGGTGGAACATCGCTGTTTACCAGAAAAGTTCACCCATACTACCTTTACACTGCGCAAAGAAAACTGCCCCCCAGTTATCTTGGATAGATCTATCATTCCTGTGAGCACAACGGTCAATTATCTAGACATGACCTTGGACAGACGGCTGACATGGCGCGAACATATTGTGCGCAAAAGGAAACAGGCTGAGACTAAACCAAAACAATATTACTGGCTGATCGGCAGGCAGTCTAAGTTAAAGCTTCATGTAAAGTTATTAATTTACAAAACTATAATCAAGCCAACATGGACATACGGCATTCATCTTGTGGGTACCGCCTGCAGAAGCAACCTCAGCATGTTGCAGCGTTTCCAAAATAACGCACTGCGAATTCTGTCCAATGCACATATTCTACATGACAATGCCACAATACACAGCCAGCTAGGTGTTCCGTATGTGAACGAGGTAGTTACCAAGCTGAGTAGTCGTTACATCACCAGATTACACCACCACCCAAACAATCTCGCCACCAACCTGTTGGACACCACCGGAACAACTAGACGACTGAAGAGAATACACCCCCTCGATCACCGCCAAAAAGTAGTTAAATTCCCCTCCTTCCACAGAAGGACTTTGACTTTCTGTTCGCTCTAGACCTACCAAGATCTCTCACCCTTATTCCTACTTTTTTCGTGTCTTATACCTAAATTATAACAGTACAACGTGTTCTGCACTGAGTTCCTGAAAATATTTGAATTCAGGATACCCTTTTTATACACTGAACCCATTGAAAATGGGTACAAGGGGTATAATGTATTTGTGCAAATGTATGTAACAGGCAGAAGGAAGCATCTCCGAACCCATAAAGTATAAATATTCATGATCAGCATCAATAGCCGAGTCGGTCTAGCCATGTCCGCCTGTCTGTCCGTCCGTCCGTCCGTATGTATGAACGCAAGAATCTCAGAACCTATAAGAGCTAGAGACTTTAGCTGTAGGTCCTCCTAGTCCCCGCGCAGATCGAGTTTGTTTCCAATATTCGATAACTTGCCCCGTTTCCAAGTAATCGATAAAAATCTATATCGAAATTCTGTTTTTTGAGCAATTTTGGTATATAATAAAGCTAGAGTCCCCAAACTTGACATGTAGTTTCTAGAATAGTATATATGTATATATCAAGTATCTTTCATTTTATAACTACCACCACCTCCCCGCTACTACTTCATAGCTATAAATCAAGTAAAAACACCAATTTATGCTGTCCCCCAATATAAGCCACAATTAAATGCAATTGACTTTTTGATAATACAAGAATATTCTATAGTACAATAAGATGTACTGTAAAAAATTTCATCAGGTTCCGTTAAGAAACACAGAAATGAGTAAAGAAAACGTGTTTTGACTTTTCTCCTATCAGCGGCAAAAAGCAGAAAGAATTTCTGTTTACATGTACCCACACATTCATGCGTGTCTTCTTTGAATTCTATCAACAGCATTGCAAATGCGATTGTATTTTTTTCTGTGATGCTATTTTAATTCGTTTTTTTCTCATGAAAAGTTAATTATTGGCTTGGCTGTTAAGTTGAGGCGGCGGAAAATAGCTCGGTCAGTTTTTTTTTGGCTGGTGTGGGTGTTGAGTAGAGGCAGCAGCAAGTAATGCGGTCAGTTGCAAGTTCGAACCCTCCCAAGGAAACTTTTTTTTTTAAATTAATTTTTATTTCTACTAAAGCAATCGATCGCGTAGTGTGAGCTGCTAACTTCAATGATAATTGTCTATGCCTCTCTCACTCTCTCTATTCTATATTATCTTTCATCTCTTCACTTGCTTATCTATATTTTTGGTCTTACTATTAAAACGTATTAAATGCGTCCGACCTGATAAAGTAAATATAATCCATTTCACCATCAACAGCTAAGTTGTCCATCTGCTTGTTTATATCTGAACTAATCTCCCTGCTGCAGGCAGTACATATTTCAAAACTGGCCGGAACGAACTACTATTACTATTACAACGACTACAGCGATCGGTCGAAAAGTAGGGTTTTGCATTGTAAACTTATTTGTTTTACAGATATCTTGACCAAACTATGCTCCTTACATATATACAAAACCTATAAACATCGGATCACCATATCTAATATGTGCCATTGCAACGATTTGGCGAAAAGTAGGTTCTAGTATAGCAAAATATTGTGTTTTCCAAGTTATTTACATCATTTACGAGCTTCACTATTCTCACATATTTGCAACAGGCAAAGGTTTTGAAGGGTATTATTCGGTGTGCTAAAGATATCCTCGTTATAAATAAATATGTCGTTCTTTCAATACAATATACATTCTAAAATATCTAAAATATGCTCGAAAGTATTGATTAAACAAATTACACAGATCCGTATGATGACCAGACCAGCCCATTAAGTGCTGTAGTCGGGAGTGTCCGACTAAATGATTATGTGATCTAAGCGCCGATCTGCCGTTAAAAGTATTCTAGAATCTTTCTATACAATAATACAGAAAAGCCCACAAACTCACACACACATGCATGTCATTGACTGCGCACTTAATGCAGAGGATGTCGTTTTCCTTCCCTTGGCCCATAAAAATTAAATTTTCAATATAAACCGGCTCTACCTTTAAACACTTTTTTTTTTATATGTTTTTAATCTGAGTATACGATACAAGAACCTGGCTACAAACCAAGTTAGATGTATGTATCAGGCAAAAGAAAGTATCTCCGACCGAGTCGATCTATTTTCGTCTGTTGCCAGAGCTAAAGATTTAAAAATGTTAAAGTAGGTTCCCCTAGTGCTCGCGCAGTATAAGTTTGTCTCCGATAATCGATAACTTGCCCCGTTTCCAAGCAATCGATATCGACATCCTGTTTTTGAGCAAATTTCTTTTGTTTTAAGAGTGACCATCTTGTAAACGTAGCTTCTAGATATATATATATATACAAATCCACTATCTTTCAATTTATTGCTACCCCCAGCCTTCATTACACCGCATCACGCCAAATTGAATAAATATATCAATTGGAACTACCCACCAATTTAATGGTGCCTTTTTCGAGAATATAAAAATATTCTATAGCACAATCCGATCTACTGCTGAAAAGTCTATCAAGATTGGTTAAGAAACACAAACGTTATTAAAGAAAACGTGTGCTGATGTATATTGACAGATCACTTGCTTGTGGCATCTAGCACAAACTGCAAGGATTTGTGTATACAGGTACATTTATTCTATAAACAGTATTGCAATTGCGATTTTATTGTTTTCTGTGTTCTATTTAAATTCGTTTTGGTCGAGACGTTATTGAGTCCAACTGAGGAAACTTTGTTTTATACTGAATTATTTTAATTTCTGCTAAACTATAAGAGAGTTCAGGTTATCCCCTAGTCGGAACTCCGCTTGAGCCTCTTACTTGTTGTTATTTTAAAAATAGACACTAAGGGTGTAATGTGATTGTGGAGAGAAAGAAGAAAGAAGCATCTCTGTCTGCCTGTCCGACTGTCCGTCCATTCCGATTAGCGAAAGGAAACTGCGGAAGGTACTGCGCGAGCACTAGGAGGACCTAACTGTTAAATTTCAAGTCTCTAGCTCGTATAGGTTCTAAGATCGATGCGTTGATACGGACAAAAGCTAGATCGAATCGGCTATTGATACTGATCAGTAATATATATACTTTTAAGGTAACAACAGGGGCGCATAATAATTTAATAGCATTTGCCATTTCGCCATATCTTTCGCGCAAAGCTTCAAATTTTTTTATATTGTATGCTATTTGCTTTTCTCTATTGTAAACAAACTGATAATGATAACTTAAATCTTTGATTATTTATATTTTAATTTTTAAAGTTAATTTCTCGCATTTCTTGCATCATGAAATGACTAGCATCAGCGATTTCCGTTTATTCACTATAACATGTTTGGTAGCAGCGATTTCTGGTTTAATAATTTTCGTTACGCGCAACGAATTTTCACCGATGGAGATAGGCGGGAATGACACTACAAATCAAGCTATATTTTAAAATGAGTACCGCCTGCTTTTAACGAACAAATTGTTCTATCGGAATGCTTGTGCACTATAAATATATGTAAATATATATACGCTGTAAATAATTAGTCAAGTTAGAAAATACAAAGGCGGCGATCCCGTCTAGAATATGATATTGACAACTGAATGAGGCACTCTTACACTTTATATATACTGATGATACTTATATAGGTTCGTCGACGGTAAGCCCTAATGCTGAAACCACATTTTTTTTTTTTAATGGAATAAAACAAATTAATCTCGAATTATGAAGGTTGGGAGGGTCACACTAGCCACAAGCATTCTCACATTACAGTAAGCCGTTTTCAATTTCCTGTCTGACTTGTGCAAATGCATAGAGAAATTCTTGCGCTGCTGCCACGAGTGTCAAGTTATTAAAGAGACTTGATCTGTATATGCAATACTAAGAGTAAAATTTAAAATTAAGTGTCTCGTGTTCAAGAAACTTAAGAGATTTGCTCAAAAAGTAGGACTTCGATACTGATTTTAATCGATTTCTTGGAAACGAGGCAAGTTATGGATTATCGCAAAGAAACTCTTTATACGCGGGCACTAGGATATACGTTCAAAATTTAAAGTCTCTAGTTTTAATAGGTTCTGAGATCGACCCGTCCCGATGCACACCAAGAACATATATATTTTATTGGGTCGGAGATTTTTATGCCTTTTACATACATTTGCCAAAAACATTTTTACCGTTTTTACCCATTTTCAATGGGTTCACGATATATATATATATATATATATCTTTAATCGAAGACGGCAACAAAAAACTGATTTTTGTTGCATAGCGCAATCAGTCAGTCAGTCAAAACAAGAGTCTTATATATGTAGATATATACATACCTCTAATATAACAGATGATGTGCTTGGTCCACTTATGATAAGAAGCACATGCGGTCTTCTTCCATAACTAAGATCATAATATATATCAACTAGTGGACTTGGACCAAGGTCATAGATTTTGGCAACAAGCGGAGCGATTGACGAAGGACCTAAAACTCCAATTGTTAGGTACCCTCCTAAATAAGCAACTACACGGTGTATAGCACTTGAATTTGTTGTCAGCTTTAAGCAGCTTTCATATAAACGTTGTAGCTTCTTATAATTTCCACTTAATGTCGAACTCTGCAAAAGAACTAAGATAAAGAACAATTATATTATAACAATCGCCACGTCAAAAAGCGCAGACGTGTAAAATAATTGCCCTGAAGACGGTTTGCCGATGTGCAACCGAAATATATCGGAAGCAAGGTATTAAATAAAATTGTTTTCGTTGTTTGTTTTTACAAACACGGACCTCGAGCCAGCCAACAAATATTTTGAAATAATTTTATATATTTTATTGAATAAAATAAAGACCCGGACCTCGAGCCAGCCAAACAAATAATTATAAAATTTAAAGGTCGCCAAATTAAACATATATATAATAATAATATTAATCTATAAATATATGTATGTATATAATAATAATATTAATATATATATATATATATATATATATATATAATAATATACATAATAATATTAATTTATATAATATACATACAATAATACCTTAAACTCATAAGAGAAATTGCAACTTACACTGTATTTGCATATCCACTGACTTTTGTGAATTGCCCATTTCAATAAAATTAGTTATATTGTTATTAAACGTTTTGCGCCAACAACTAAACTTCTTAAATTCAGAACAAGGATCTTTATTCCAATTGAGTCTTGCTTGAATGTTGGAAGCCACTGTTGCACAAATTGCTTCTGTACATTCCGAAGGAGATGAAATTGTAGGCGAACAGCCATCGCCCTCCATATAACAATCTTTGGGAAGTGGCGAGGGTGCTGTACTGATTAAAAATAATATTGGTGAAGCAACCAGTAATGTTGTTACCAATAAAGTTGCGGACGTTATAGCCACTTTATGAACTGCAGCTGAGGTGCGCAGCCATATACAAGGAGCGCAGCATATCCAGCCAATGATATTATTCTGAAAATAATTAAGCAAAATGTACAAGAAGTAAAAAGCTTTGTGTTATTATACCTTGTTATATCGTCCTGCAATGTTGTCTAAATTAGAGTTGTCGATAATTTCAACCTCATCAGCTTTACCAAATTGGTTGGAACAAATAGGGGTTTTAAATGACAGCTGTTTTTGCAGAAGTGATGCGCTGCTCCCCCCAGATGGATTTGCAGAAGTAATAACATTACGAGCATTGTTGTTTAAACCACTTACGCCCGTTTTTCGAAACGTATTACGCGTGCTAAACTCAGTTGACATGGTTTTTCTTGTGTTATGTTTTAGATTGACATAATTTTTGAATAATTCTCACATTTACCAAAATATAATATATCCTTCAAAATATGGCTTGCGCTTAATCAATATTTTGTTTTAGTAAAGTAAGTCATAAGCGTGCTCAATATTTATATGTACATATTTACGTTTACAAAATTGTAATCAGCTGTTTGTAACACTTTGTTATTAACACTTTTAGATTTTAGTTTATTTGCAACACTCAATATATTAGACAATTTACTGCCGATTTAAGCTATGTGTATTATTTACATTTGCTTTCACATTCCAAATTTATAATCACAATATTACACTAAAGCTCAAAATGATTGCTTTGAAAGCTTTTAGTAAGGAAGCTTTTTACAATTTTGTGTTTAATATTGGCAAATACAATAAAATACACAGGTAGTATGTCCGAAAAACCGAAGCCATGCCGCAAAATAGATGAGCGACAAAAAATAAAGTAGGACAGAATTAAAAACATGTTCAATTCATATACATATGTGTCGACTACGACTACTCTATTGATTTTTCACCAGAGGTAAATTTGAAACAAGAAAGAACGTTTCACGGAGATGATAATTTTTGTTAGTATTTGGTATCCTTGGGATATTTTATTTAAAAACATATACCAAAGAGCAGCCCTGTCTTTTGCTATAATGTTTTCCGTACGGCGCGATCGTGCAAAAAAAAATCAATCTTCCACTTATTTCGATTTTTTAAAGTATTGAAATGAGTTATATTTAAACTCGCTGGTGCTATCATCGGGAGATCCACAGAGACCTTGATAGGAAATAAAACCATTAACCAACGAAGATTATGATAAATTTGTTTAGGAACAGCATGATAGCATACATATTGAAGAGCTGGCAGCTAAATATAATATATCAACGGCTGGAACTGAACAATTGCTAATATATCTAAAAACCACGGGAGCCATGAAAAGTTAAAAAATATGTGTGGCAGAAGACGTAAAAAATCAATATGAAAAAATTGTTTTAACATCCTTTCAAATATAAGAGCAAATTTAATGCTTCGGAGCAGACCATACAAAGAATATTTAAAAAATGAATGTTTGAGATTTTTGGAAAAAAAAACCATGTCCGTTTTTTTCAAAGTTTAAGAGTGCCTAGTTTTCCCAAAAAAAAATATAAATATATAAACATTTTGAAACTGACCAATCTGGTCAAATGAGTCATTTGAGTTGAGTCTGCTGGAAGTGCCTTGAGAGACTCAAGGAACGAAATATTATTACGTTAAACACAAAATAGGGACTCGCTAATGTTATAGGGTTGTTTCTAGCTATCCGGCTTTTAGAATTCATAAAATTGTTTTTAAATAAACTGAATTAGTGTGGGTAGAACTGTCAGAAAAGTATTAAATTATAAATAATTTTATTTTGCAGCAGGAGTGGCGTCAAAATGTTTAATTAATTTTTGTATAGCTTGAACCCATTGAAAATGGGTAAAAAGGATATCATGTATTTGTGCAAATTTATGTAAAAGGCAGAAGGAACGCAAGGATCTCAGAATCTGTAAGAGCTATGGACTTGAATTTTAAATGTAGGCCCCCTTAGTGCCCGATAGTCAAGAAGTTGCCACGTTTCGAAGTAATCGATAGTGCTGTTTTTTGATCACAATTGGTAAATAATAGCCTTTCTCCACTGGGCTTAAAAATGTCACATTTTAAAGTTTTACATATTGGTGTTCCACCGGTTTTCGGTAACATGTGAGTGGCAAAAGTACTGTTTCTTTAAATAAACAGCTGATCGAGTTGCTTTAATTTACATAAGCGCCGCACAGATTTCCTTTCAAAAGTTAAATAATACGGCCCCGAAGTAGGGGCTCCGTTTAATAGACCCTTTGCGGGATTTGGCCAACTTTAAATGTTAAAAACTGTGGGATTATTAAAATTTAAAATTATAATTTAAAGTTACCGCTTGCCTTCGTTGCAATATCAGCTGGTTTATGTTTACATTTTTCACAACATCGATAGAAATCTCGATTAATCATCGCAAAAGACGCGAAATGTTCGGGGCGAATTTACACATTTTAAAAAAATGTGACATTTTTAAAAAATGTGTGAAATGTGTTTTCTTATGGCCTCTGTGCTGCTATTTTACTCCGTTTTTCCTCTGTAAGACTCAAATATTGGTGTGGCTGTTGAGTAGAGGTGAAGGCAGTTAGTGTGGTCTGTTGCGAGTTCGAACCCTACCCAGGGTACTATTTTTTTTATATTTCTATTACTGCTAAAGCAAACGAGTGCGTAGTGCAATCTGCATTTGGTGATGGAAAAAGAGGGTTTAGGGTATCCCCTAGTCGGGAGCTCCAGACTATGGCTTCTTACTTGTTAATTTATGTTTTTATCGCCTAAAGCAAAAGAGCTCTTAGCGGGAGCTGCATTTGGTGTTTTTATAAGAGGGTTCAGAGTATCCCCTAGTCGGTAACTCCCACCTAGTGCCTCTTACCTGTTTCCTTTGTTATATTATTAATTTTAGATTAAGTTCCAAATAAAAAACATTTTAAAGTCACTATAAAGATGTACAGATGAACAAGGCTAGATCGACTCGGCTATTTATGCTGATCAAGAATATATATATATATCATGGGGTCAGAGAGGCTTCCTCTGCATGTTACATACAAGTGCACAAATACATTATACCTATTTTAACCATTTTTAATGAGTTCAGGCCTTTAACTTCAGGGTATAAATATTGGTTGGGCTTCCATATACCGCCACGCACACGTAGAGTGCTCTTGCGCACGAATACATACATACTTACAATTGAAGTGAATTGCGCTAGCCATTCTGAAGCTCAGCCCAGCAATTTCAGTGCATATTTTATTAGAAACAAAACCAACATTTATCAAAACTAACCTTGCTGTCCCTTTTATTTTGTGCCACAGTCTATGATCTAAACTCATTGTCGTTGTTTCTGAGCAATGTGCCTGTGATCAGGGCGTAATTAAAAAGCAACTATTAGTACAAATTTTTAGTGATTGTTTTCTTTTAAAATTATATACCATTACTATAAACAAGAGTATACATATATGCTGCTTAGTTGTTGTTGGCTTATATATAAGTATTTCTCAACGCACATAATCTAACAAACACACAATCGCATGTATATGTACGCCTATGAAGCCAAGGGGATTGTGAATATGAATAAGAACAGACTACGGTTTTTTCGATCATTGCATACAACGATTCATTACATTTTAAGATAAATTATACTATAAGAATCTCTTTTAATAAATGATTTAAATTGACTCATAAATAAAATCTTAAAATATATGACGTCATAAATTATGGGGTTGACGCACTCTGTGCGGTCCCCTTAGACTTACGCTCATCGATATAAAGGCTCATGTCATCGATAGTTTTGAAGGAGAACCTCCTCCCTCCCTTGAGTAATAAATAAACAGAGAAGGCTTTTGGATCAAAAGCTCTTTTTCAAAAAATGTGAAGCAAGATAACGAAGTAGCAAACACTAATTGCAAATTCAACACCCGGCTGTCTGCAGCTACTTCTGCCGATGCCCGAAATTCAATGACAACTTTAGAACATTTTCCATAAGAACCAACAACAGCCATAATCAAAACAAACAACTCGACCATGAAAATAGCACACCACAAATTCTGTCCTTGCTATCCCTATTTGATTTGAGGCTACAGCCTATGATTTAAGCTTCTACACTCTTCTAACTCATTGTTGTGGTTTATAAGCGCTGCTATGCGTATAATCTCTACTTGCTTTCAACTTTCAAGCAGCCAGGCAGATTTTTATAATTTTTTATTTTTGGACCAGCGAAGCACCCTTTCTCTAAATAGGGTATTTTGACTATTAATCAGTGCTAGAACCAAATAGCACAAACCTTCTTATATACAAATTTGTATCCAATGTCTGAGAAAAATATAATTTCGTATTTAGTGTGCAACTATTAGTACAATCAATAATAATTGTTTTCTTTAAACATTATATACCATTTCTATAAATAACGGTATCAAAGCCTCGACGCTCCAGATACATATTGGTATGTGTTTCAACTCACACATTTTGGTGCAATTTTGCTTGTATGTGCTTGACAAGCCAAGGGAAATATATGAATTTAAAAAGATTGCAACAATCTGTTGAGCATGTGACGTCACAGCCTAGGGCTTTTTCTGCGCCCGTTGCGTACGTAAATTTATACATTTTTAAGTAAATTCATTATTATAAAATACCCTATTAATAAATTACCTAAATGTACGTAATAAAGATAGAAATATATTCTTAACAACACAAGAAATGAAATTCTATAAAATGTGACGTCATATGATGTCATATATGATGTTGGTGCGCCGTGTGCGTAACTCTTTGATTTGAATGACATGGCCTGCTGGCATTCAAAATGTCTACCTGCTTGCGCCGGGACTTGGTTCTGCAAGTACTCAAATTGTGTTCTTGATGTTTCTACGCGCTGCCTTGTAGGAACGACAGAGAAACCAACAACAAACACAGTGGCATTATCTGTCCATTTTCTTTGCACTGATTTTCCTATGTCCTAAAAATCTTGCTTCAGAATTTCAGCGATCAAAACGGACGACGAAAAACATGGTAAGTGAGCTTTATTTCTTGAGTTTGATTTTGCGATTGCGGACCAACCTTATCGATCTTGCTTCAGAATTAAAACGGTAATAAAAGCTCGGAGTGACTTTTCATCTCTTTATCTTTTTATTACTTGTTATGGAACTGCTTGTTTCTCTGTGGGCCGCGCCGGCTGGCTCATCGCTTCTCTGGATGTAGTCCCATCCCGGGCCCGCAGTCCGCACAATCGATATCAACGAAAGCTACAATGTCTGTAGCAAAATAGACCTACACAACACTTTCCAAAAGAATCACAAAATCGATAACCTCAAACAGCCGGAACTATTAACAAATGAACAACATTAACAGCTGTAACAACAAGAAAATGTAAACAACAAAGGTGAGACGCTCAATATAAATTAACAAAAAAACCCTATTTATCCACTTTACTCTCCCAGATCGTGTCCCGGTTATGGACCCAGCGTACCTGAGACGATCACCTGATCTCGTCTCCCTCATTTTGGCCACTAGATGGCCTGCATCAGCCCGTGTCAGCTGTCATGCCCCCTCTCCCCATCAATTGAAGCTTAGCCGGACATTCTTTTTCTACTTCACCAAACGGGTATAATTTTTTGCATATTCTTATAATTATTGACAGTTAATATTACACCTCCAACCTTCTTTATGTAGTTTCATGTAAATGAACAAATTAGCCAACAAATCGGGAAAATCCCCACAAGCAAATCCCCAAAAACACATATGGTAAGATTATAAATTATATCTAAGTCGCTTATAAGTCGCTAAAGAGCTCTCTGAGCGAGAAAAGGGGCGATACGTTTTCTTCATATACATATTTGTTTCAATTTGTTTAATCTCTATTCCTTTTTTCTTTCTTTTCTTTTAGGGCTGTGCGTATAATTCGCAAAGTCACAAAGTCATGTCTTCAACTTTCAAGCAGCCAGGCAGATTTTTATATTTTTTATTTTTGGACCAGCGAAGTACCCTTTCTCTAAATTATTTAAAAAATTTGGCTCAATATTTATTAGCCTCGAACGGCCACTGCTGCTGGCGTTTTGTCGCCGTTGGTTTGTCGCCGCTGCTGCTGCTGTCGCCGTTGCCGCTTTGTCGCCGTTGCCGCTTTGACGCTCCCGCCTAATTGGTTGGTGTCGGGTGTCCAGGTTGAATCCCACGGTGGAGCTGTCCCACGGTGGCTCTTAGTAACGCGTTGACTTGGCGCTCGTGTCGATTATTGGTCATGCACCTTAGCCGTGATCGTTGGGCTGGGTGCATGAGTACTTCCTCTTAGTATTTGTAATAACTGTTCTTAACTCCTCCCCCTTTAAACGCACATCATTGTTTTCGACGCGTACTCGTCTTCTCCAATTCTTACTCTAGAGTTCTCGAATTGGATAAGGAATGTCCCCTCCAAGTCCATTATCTCCTTATCGATGCCGATTGTGCCCGGTAAAAAGTTCTTCGTGGTCGGGCACATGTTGGCTATTAGTTATTGTACAATCTGCTACCTGGCTTCTGAGCAGATGTGTAATGCATGTGTCGTTGCTTAATTCTACCAAGCTGTTTTTACTACAAATAACCTTGCCGTTATGGGCAATTTTCTCTAATTCCGAAAATATGTTTGCATTTAACAATTTTATCAAAATTTTTATTTATTTATTCTATATCCTTTTTTAACTGGTTTTAATAACATGGCCGTACAAATTTCTTTAGTTAACAAGGATGCTTATAATATTGAGTATGCTTTTACCGCTAGTTGCTATTTTGATCTTGGAAAATTCCAACAATTCTTCTGCGTTAATGAATAGTATATTTTCGTTTTCTAGGAGGCTTGTTAATTTTTGATTTCTATTTCAGACAAAATAACAGAATTTATTGTGTTTGTTTTAGCCCAATCGATAGCGTAAATTAAATTATTTAATTCTTTGAAAATATGTAGCTTATATTTTAGAATAGTGGCTTTTTCTTCTTTAAACTTTTTGTTTTCTGTTACGGATTTGATTACCTCTTTTAAATTATTAATTCTTTTGCTTAAGACTCTATTTATAACTAATTGATTATTATTGTTTTCCAATTGTGCGTTCATTTTAGTAATACGAATTTCGTGGTCATTGTGGTCCGGTGTACCGGCCAACCATTTACATGCTGTGCCCAGTGCATCTATTGCTCTAACTTTTCGTTGGGTTGGTTTGAGCCGTCCTAGGTCAGTTTCGGCCTTTGAAAGTTCAAATGCAGGGTACGGGAAAAATGGGTGTGTTCTTTCTATTTCGTTTAATCTGTTCGATAGGTTACCGAACGCCATTTAGTATTCCTCAAATACGTGGATAATTCTGTAAGTGCCATTTTGTACGGCTGCAGCGCCTGTTTTTATCGGAATAAGCTGCGAGTGTGAGTAGTCTAGGATAGTTGCCAAACCGAAACAGGACGGCAAGGATAACCTGTGAAATATTATGTTTTGATATTACTTTTGTGGAAATTTCTGCCATTTTGTGTTTTGATTGTAGTTTTTCTATTTCCTGCTACTTTTTCTTTGCTGTACTTTGGTGTGATTTTGAGCCTAATCTGTTATTTATCTTGACATATACTGTGTCTCCAGTCTCATACTGTTTTATTATTTTTTTCTCGCTGTTATGAAATTGCAAATCTTCATCCTGCTTTTTTTATATTTTTTTTTCTGATTTTAGTTGTTGTATCTTCTAATTCCTGAGGGTCGCTAGCATGCTGAGTTCCGAAAAAAATATCTATGGATTTTGCGTTTACTGTGGAGTGTACGGATTGGTTGTATAATTCAACGGCTTTGAATATTAGGTCTACGAAATTTACACATCCGTCATCCTTCTTTACACATCTCATTATTTCGGTCAGAGTTGAATGGAATCTTTCAACTTGACCATTGCTTACTGAGGTTTATGGCGGTGTCGTGTAGACGGTTGCTTTCATTTGGTTCTCCAATAGGAATTTGACGGATTGTAGTGCGTATATGCCCTTACAGAATACCCTGTACTTAAATATAAAGTATGCAGCACTTTGTTGCATACAATAACAATAATATAGTAAACAAGCCCAGAGCCACTTACTGTATTGGCTCGGTCTCATATTACGCAGCGCGGTTCACTAGCCTCACTAGCTGACCGTTTATGCTTACGCTGCATATCCCACGCTCCGTCTGAGCGCATTCCGTGAGCAATATATATGCTCACTAATACAGGCATATGCGAGCTACTCACTCTCCCTCTCTTTGTAGCTGTTAACGAATAACAGCATAAGTATATATGTATATCCATAGACTAAGCGCAAATTATTAAAACCGAATAAATTCATTCTGAACAAAGATACAAAACAGCACTGACGTGCTGGCCTTTTTATTAAAGAGTGTTCATTTTACATGGCGACCGTGACAAGTGTCACGAACATGTTAAAAAATAACATGTGCATATAAAATATAAAATATAAAATATAAAATATAAAATATATAACTGGAGGTGCAGCAGCGGCAGCAGCAACAACAATCATCGGCAGAACACATACTAAAATTGGAACGATACAGAGAAGATTACCATGGATTAACAACATCATCGACAAAAATACAACTGGAGGTGCAGCAGCGGCAGCAGCTATATATATATAAAAAAAAATAATAACTAAAATCAAAAAATATACTGAGTGAGTACAGGGCATGAGCTCTAAGGCAAAAAATAAGCCAAGACGCAGTGGCATTAAGGAGCGAATCAGACGAGGAAAGTCTGAAATCGTAAGACTCCTATATAAATGCAAAAATGCTTCCCATGGGACACTGCAGTGAAACTGAATGACGAACTCGAACATCTCGAGTCGTTATTAAAATTAAAGAGCGAGCCCTGTCCCTCAGATATAAATATTAAAAAACTAACAAAGAATCATCGTCCATCGCCAAGACAGATACCAGTACGCCCACGCAGATGCCCACCAGATTGTGAGGGCCCCCTCTACAGCCCCCATTGCGAGGGCACCTGCCGCACTAAGGAAGCAGAGTCAACCAACGCATGAGAGGCAAACCGCCGCTTATGCCTACGAGGGAATACAAAGCAACTAAGACGAGTTGCATGAGAGGCAAGCCGCCCCTTATGCCTACGAGGGAATACAAAGCAACTAAGACGAGTTGCATGAGAGGCAAACCGCCCCTTATGCCTACGTGGGAATAAAGAAGACCCTATAACAACAGAACCGGCAGCGCCCAACATATTAAATTAAATAGTAATAAATAAAACTTAAAAATTGTAATGCTCGACGACAATTGAGTCGACCGGCAAGACGTTTGGCCCGTACAGGCATTCGAAACAATAGGTAGGAAAAAATACAGATTGTAAAAAAAAAAAGCAACTAAGATGCGTTTTAAGCAGAAAACAAACAAGCAAAACAAAACCCGACTTGTAAACAATAAAAGCATCAAATTTAATAATTATACATATGTAATAAAAAATCAAAATGATCGATACAAACAACAACTTGTCTTGTAAAAGTAAACGAAAACAAATTTAACATTACGCATTTGTAATTTTTAAGATAATTCCTTTTTATTTTTTTAATTTTATGTATGATCCTATATTATATATGAATATTTATATTAAAAGAAAAAAAAAGCTTAACAAAAAAAAAATGGTCTTTTGCCTAGATTAAAAACCGAAAAAAAAATTATATATATCTAATTGTACATAAGTACAAAAACATTACTAAACTTTGAGAATATACAAGAATTTTAAATTGAAAAGAGGAAATTAAAAAGTTATAATTGCTTATAAGTGCTCGATTTGCCTCATTAGGTATTTCAAAAATTATGGTCAAGAATTAGTCATGATTGAGGACAGGATTAGCAAGGTATATAACGACTATACAGACTTTCGTATGCGAGCCATACAAATTTTGCAAAGGCATAAAGAATTCATATCAGTATATGAGTTCGAATCCGAATATATAGAAAAATTCGGCACAGTGACAAGTCCACTCTATTCATGTTCTAAAATAGAGTGTGGAATAATCTTGTCTACACTACCATACGTCAAAATAAAAACAATTATTGACGAGCATCCGAATCTTGGGCAGACAACAATTGTCTTAGTACGTCTGCATAGGTAGTATTCAAAACAAAAAGCAATAGTAATTATATAGGAATATGGGGGGAAACAATCAAAGGCAGATGATAACACTGCCAATGTAGTTAACGTAGTTGAAGTTGTAGACACCACTCCCCATGTGCAGTTAACAAACATACTGCTAATAATACTCATTGTAATAGCCTCAGCAAACATCCTTCTGAAGATTTATCTTCTTCATAAAAAATCACTGAGGAAGCGTTACATGAGTCGAGCCAACGACTTAGACAAGGCCTAAGCCGCTGCTTAAATAAAATATTTAAGTAGGGGAAGTTCACATGGACTGGCCCCAAATAGTAGAAAAAATAAAGCGGCATAGGGAGAATTTTGATAAATCATACAAGTGCCTTAATAAAAGCGCACCAGTTTTGAGACCCACAATAATTAAACATACTGAGATCCTTGTATATGAGTATAATGAAATCAGGAGTCTACTTACCGAGTGTCAAAATAAACTGACAAGTTTACACAGAGTCCAAACTTCAGACGTTTTACAGCGTCTAAGGGATAATCTGGTAAACTTAAATAAAAAGTATGATCTCCAGCTTTATCTACCATCAGTGTTAAATACACCGGTAACATTTGATAAGTCACTCCTGACAAACGACCAAAT